GTTTTTAGACCAAATATTACAGATTTGAACAAATACGCACAAAAACATCAAAATTAGCACAGAAACTGTACTATATAACATTTTAGACACATTCTAGACAGTTTATCAGCTAAATAAAGTTAATTTTTGGGTAATTTACTCTTTAAGATCTTGCCACTGTYGACTCCCACCCACCATTCAGCCCAGTTTGTGGAACCTCCTCAGAGGTAGTACTGTGGTAGTACTGTTTGGGGCATGGTGTTCTGAAGTGTGTAGTAGTTGCTGATTTGGCCAATCATTATGGCCAAATCAAAATGCAAGCATTGTCAATCTCCAGCCGCTTCACRCTCAGCTGCGAACTGAAGAGAGCTGAAGATCATGGCACAATGATGCCAACAGGATCACATCATCTTCAAATAACAGAGACGGAATTTTGAGGCCACTGAATCAGATTCCCTCCGCCCCCTGGTTGCGCTGAGAAATTATGTCCATTACAGTTGTGAACAGAATCTGTGACAACTTGATGTGGAGGAGCAAAACTCCCACCCTGAAGGGGTGAAGGGCTTACCGTCGGCAATGTGAACCAAACTCTCGCACCGCTTGTATAAGGCATGAATGGCCCCTTAATAATGGATCCACGTGCCCATACTCACWGATCATCCCCCACAGTGTACCTCAAGGAACATGGTTGAATACCTTCTCCAAATCCACAAAACACATGTAGACTGGATGGGCAAACTCCCATGACCCCTCAGGACCCTTGGGGGTAAAGAGCTGGTTCAGTGTTCTACAGCCAGGATAGAACCTGCATTGTTCCTCCTGAATCTGAGGTTTWACCATCAATTAGATCTTAGACTGGTCTAATTTCTTTTTACAGATTTGAAGCCAACAGAATCTAAAAAAAAAACACACATGTTAGAATGGGAGGGGCAAAAAGTTGCTAACAATAACTCTTATATCATGTTTAGGTCAAGAAATATCCTAAAATGTTATAAAATATAAAAGAAAGTATTTATTGGTGATTTAGCTTTAAATGCTTAAACATTAAAGGTTGCACATTGAAATTTTAGATTTTAAAGATGATGAATTGGTCAAAAATGTGTAATATCAGAAGGATTTTGTTTACATAGTACAACAGTGTCCTCTGGTGACTTTAGGTCTTAGTGACCCATTACATACAATAAGAACAGGAAGACCAAGTCGTTGATGAAACCTGGCACATATTATCAAAAAGAAAAAAAAATAAGTAGGTCCTCTGGATGGGTTCTTCTTTAGTGAAACGTTTCATCTCTCATCCAAGAGACTTCTTCAGTCTGATGAGTTTCAGGTAAACTCAGCCTTAAAAGCACTGCCTCCACATGGTGGACAAACAGGTCAGTCACATGCAAAAGAGGATCATGGCTTAACAATAGGCTTGATTAGTTCTATTGTTCATAGAGGGTCATGTGCCCCTTCACCTGACTTATTAGTTTGAATGCTGTGGTTCTTAGGTGTCGTGTCATGTGTATGTAGTGAATGCAGGTGGGGCTCAAAGTCCCCTTGTTTTTGTGTGAAACGTTTCACTAAAGAACCCATCCCTACTTATTTTTTCTTTTTGATTTTTTCTACCTGGATTACTGAGATGCATCAGGACATTCTGGCACATATTACTTAATCATGGAGTTGATGTCTCCCTCAATAGTGTTTATGTTTTGGCAAAATGTTTTTGTTTTTYTGCTCCTAGTTTGCAGTTGTATTTAAAATTTAAAGTCAGTGAAAATCATCATTATTAATGATAACTCTTTATTCTTTAACTTCCAAACTATTTACCCAGTTTCTTTGAAATGAGATCAGTTTAACGGAATTCAATTAAACTAAAGGAGGCTAGAATTAATTGAGCTGAAAATAATTCAGAGTTTATTGGGTCAGACAACGCTCAGACCTCTTTAACATTAATATTTAACTGTTTACTGTCCCGTTGCAGTGTTAAATGTCATGATAATGCCTCTGACATGATTCTCTCAAAGTGTGTGTGTGTGTGTGTGTGTGTGTGTGTGTGTGTGTGTGTTTTACCATACTATCTTGGACAAAGTTCCCATTATCTGGAAAACTATCATAAAATAGAATTTAAGTTTACATGCCACTGTGGTAATTAAGTTTTTATCTTACTTCTTGACAATAAAAATCTACTAATCCAGTATTTAATTGTGCCTGCTGCGCTTAAAATTCACAGGGACTATCTGTGATTTGAATATYGTGAATATTTCATCATCTTTGGTGTCTGTTCTTCCATCTGTAGGTCGTCTACCTCCACGACAAATTCTGTCCACCTCCTCCCAGCAGATTTCTTCCATGCGGCTGCGAAGCTGGCACAGWGCTTTCCTGGCATCACTGAAGGTCTCTGCGGGCCGGCTAAAGGCTCCGGAGCGCTGATCAGTGGTGAGACAGATGTAGAGCAGAGGGGACGCCTGAGTCAATAAACACAAACAGCGGAAAATTAACTTCCAGTGTCAGACAGCAGTTTCCACAATTCCTTGTAAAATTGAATTTGAAATKAGCACTCAGGCCCATGCAGCTGACCCATTCCTTCCTCTCATGCTTCTTTCTCCACCATCCCTTATCTGGAGCACTTCTGTTGGAGCAGACTCTGGTTAGTCCGTTAGTCCGTCAGGTCTCCAGGATGCACCAACCCTGAGCTACTTGTCTTCTGAGAGAACAGAGTTCTCAAGTGAGGCTAAAAAGGTCTGATGTGGCAGGTCCCTTATGATCGGGTCATATTCTTCAAAGTGGTTAATACAAAAAGAAATGCAAAGAAACAACTGTGGTAAATAAATTAAACACTAGACAGATAGTGAAGGACGGCTGAAATTTTCCCAAATTGAGTTGTTAAAGCTAACAAAACACTGCGTAAAGGTTTGCTAGCTATAAGCAGAAAGTAGTAAAGCATTAGATAAAGCTAAACGTAAAAAAACACAAGAGTAGTAAAAGACTAACTAAAAGCCAAAAGTAGTAAAATGGTAGCTAGAAGCTAGAAGTAGCAAAAAGCTAGCTAGAAAAGCTAAATATAAGTAAACAGTAAGAAAAGTAGCAAAAGGATAGCTGAAAGCTACAAGCAGACTGATACATAAAAATGAAAGCAGCCAAGCAATAGCTAAAAATTTCAAAAAGCTAGCTATAGATCAACAAAATGTTAGCTAAAAGTATCAAATCATCTAAATACATAAGTATCAAAATGCTAACTAAAAGCTAAAAGAAGCTTAATTCTAACAGAGAATCAAAAGGCCWATTAGAAGCGAAATGTAGCAAAGCCAGGTAAAAGATAAAAAAGCTAGCAGAAAGCTAAAAGTAGCAGAATATTTCTTAATAGTGCAATCATAATTAAAAGCTTAAAGTAGCAGAAGAGTGGTTAAAAGCAAAAAATAATCAAGTATGATGCAGAAGACTTCAAACAGAACAWTGTTTTTAATGGGACTGAAGAGATCTCAATTGCTTTCTATAGGGAAACATTTGTAAAAACAGTTAGAAATTATGACATGTAAAAATAAAAAAATAGTTATAGCACCCTTCTCCTTAAAAGAGACGTATTTTTTGGGATATAAATGGCTAATCTAGCACACAATATGCAGGAGAATGCAAAAATTGTCATTTTTTATTTTTTAGTAATTTCTAAAAAAAGAATAAATAAACTTTCTTAGTTCTTTCTTTATTGTTTATTTACATGGGAACAAGTGTGAAGAATAAATAAATACAAAACACTAAAAACATTTACAGCCTTAGCTAGTTTGCATTGCAAAATCCTAACTCCCTTCAGTATGCTTTTTTATATTAAAAGACAGCAATATAAATGTATTAGTTCTTTTATCTTCTTTGTGTATTTGCCATTTCTGTGTTCTTCACCATCTTCTACAAAAACATTMAAAAGTGTTTCCAGTATCAATAAATCTTCTGCTTCCAGGTCATCTTCTCTTACACCTGAAAAAAAGACTACCACCCAGCTCACCCATCAGTTATGAACTGATTATTACATCGTGCCTTCTTTTTCCTCCTTACCTGTAAAAAAAGAGCGCTGTCCTCAGTTTTCAGCAGCAGGCTGATCTCCTCGTCTCTCCTCCTCAGCTCCTGTAGGTCTTTCTCCAGGAGCTCAATGTCTCGTTCTGCTCTCCCAATTACTGCACGCTCCTTTGCCTCTAACATCACTTGGACCTACGTTACAAAACAAAACATCGAATAGTTGCCTGACAGACAATGAATGAGATGAAAACGTGTTGTCAAGCAATCTGTTGGGCAAACTCTAACTCATACCATAAAAATAAAATCAATGACAAAAGTGATTACATTTACAGTCAGGTGTTTTTTTTTTATTCATTTAGAACACAGATGTTTAATTCCTTCTTGATAATTCAACTAAAAGCAGGAGCCCTGCATTTTTAAAAGTTTTTAGTTAAGTGGTTCCCAACCGTTTTAGACTTGTGTACACACTGAGCCATTTTGTCATACCACTAGTACCCCTCAGTCAAACGTAATGATGATTCTCCAAAACTATAATGTACTACGACTGATTATTAAAAGAAAATTATTTATTTACACCCAAAGAAAATTTAGTTCTCAGGAATTGTATTTTATTCAACTCAAATTAAACATAAATAGAAAAATGTTGCCTTGAAAGTGAATAAGTAACTAAATAAACTAAAACCAGGTAACGCAGGTGCAGAAAATAGCAGCATCCAAAATATACTGTATTGTTCAAAATTTGTCAGAAACTCATCCAAATGAGAACAATCCATGGGATTCCACGTTTTATACTGGATTCCATTTTGTGTTAATTCCGTGATTCTGACTGCAATTTCTGCATTGCAGAAATCATAGGGCCCTACAAATCTCAAGTCTCATTTTTAAGTATAATTTTGCAAAACTAGRAAAATTTCCCATGTACCCACTGTAATCACACACACATGGTTGGGAATATCTGCTTTAAAAAGCATAAAGGGTTGAAGGAGCTGTCTAAGCTCCTGAAAGTGCTGGAATGTTTCAGGACCTTGGAAAGTGTGAAGGGCTGAATGAGCTGTCCAAGGACCTGAGAGTACTGGAATGTTTCAGGAACTTGGACAGTGTGATGGGCTGAAGGAATTGTCCAGGTCCTGAAAGAACTGGAATGTTTCAGGACCTTGGAGAGTGGGAAGGACTGAAGGAACTGCCCAAGGTCGTGAAAGTACTGGAATGTTTTAGGACCTTGGACAGTGTGAAGGGCTGAATGAGCTGTCCAAGGTCCTGGGAGTAATGGAATGTTTCAGGAACTTGGACAGTGTGATGGGCTGAAGGAATTGTCCAGGTYCTGAAAGAACTGGAATGTTTCAGGACCTTGGAGAGTGTGAAGGACTGAAGGAAATGTCCAAGGTCCTGAAAGTACTGGAATGTTTTAGGACCTTGGGCAGTGTGAAGGGATGAAAGAACTGTCCAGGRTCCAGAACAAGCTGAAATGTATCAGGACCTAAGACAGAGAGAAGGGCTTAAGAAACTRTCCAAGGTCCTGAATGTGGCRGAATGATTCARGACCTTATACAATGTGAAGGGCTGAAGGAACTGTGCAAGGTACTGAAAGTACTGGAATGTTTTAGGACCTTGGGCAGTGTGAAGGGCTGAAAGAACTGTCCAGGGTCCAGAACAAGCTGAAATGTTTCAGGACCTCAGACAGAGAGAAGGGCTTAAGAAACTGTCCAAGGTCCTGAAAAGCTTGAATGTTGCAGGACTTTAGATAGTGTGAACGGCTGAAGGAACTGTCCAAGGTCCTGAAAGAGCTGGAATGTTTTAGGACCTTGGACAATGTGAAGGACTGAAGGAACTGTCCAAGGTCCTGAAAGTACTGGAATATTTTAGAAACTTGGACAGTATGAAGGGCTGAAGGAACTGTCCAGGGTACTGAAAATACTGGAATGTTTTAGGACCTTGGGCAGTGTTGAGGGATGAAGGAAACGTCCAGGGTCCTGAATGTGCTGAAATGTTTCAGTACCCTGGAAAGAGTGAAGGGCTGAAGGAACTATCTAAGGCACTGAAAATGCTTAAATGTTGAAGGACTTTAGACAAAATTAAGGGCTGAAGGAACTGTCCAAGGTCATGAAATAGCTGGAATGTTTCAGGGCCTTGGACAGTGTGAAGGAATAAAGGARCTSTCCAAGGTACTGAAATTACTGGAATGTTTTAGGACCTTGGATATTGTGAAGGGCTGAAGGAATGGTTCAAGGTCCTGAAAGTGCTCGAATGATTCAGGAGTTCGGACAGTGTGAAGGGCTGAAGGAACTGTCCAAGGTCCTGAAAATACTGGAATGTTTTAGGACCATAGACAGTGCGAAGGGCTTAAGGAACTGTCCAAGTCACTGAAAGTGCTGGAATGTTTCAGGACCTCGGACAGTGTGAAGGGCTGAATGAGCTGTCCAAGGTACTGAAAATGCTTGAATTTTGCAGGACGTTAGACAGTGTGAACAGCTGAAGGAACTGTCCAAGGTCCTGAAAGTGCTGGGCTGTTTCTGGACCTTGGACAGTGTGATGGACTGAAGGAACTGTCCAAGGTATTGAAAGTACTGGAATGTTTTAGAACCTTGGAAGGATTGAAGGGTTGAAGGAACTGTCCAAGGTCCTGAAAGTACTGGAATGTTTTAGGATCTTGGGCAATGTGAAGGGCTGAAGGAACTGTCCAGGGTCTTGAACGTGCTGGAATGTTTAAGGACCCCGGTAAAAGTGAAGGGTTGAAGGAACTGTCCAAGGTCCTGAAAGAATTGGAATGTTTCAGGACCTTGGACAGTGTAAAGGGTTGAAGGAACTGTCCAAGGTCCTGAAAGTACTGGAATGTGTTAGGACCGTAGACAGTTTGAAGGGCTTAAGGAACTGTCCAAGTTACTGAAAGTGATGGAATGTTTCAGACCTCGGATAGTGTGAAGGGCTGAATGAGTTGTCGAAGGTTCTTAAAATGCTTGAATTTTGCAGGACTTTAGACTGTGTGAACGGCTAAAGGAACTGTCCAAGGTCCTGAACGTGCTGGGATGTTTCAGGACCTTAGACAGTGTGAAGGACTGAAGGAACTGTCCAAGGTCCTGAAAGAAGTGGAATTTTTTAGGACCTTGGAATGATTGAAGGGTTGAAGGAACTGTCCAAGATCCTGAAAGAATTGGAATGTTTCAAGACCTTGGAAAGTGTGAAGGGTTGAAGGAACTGTCCAAGGTAATGAAAGTACTGGAATGTTTTAGGACCTTGGGCAGTGTGAATGGCTGAAGGAACTGTCCAGGGTCCTGAATGTGCTGGAATGTTTCAGGACCCCAGAAACAGTGAAGGGCTGACGGAACTGCCCAAGGTCCTGAAAGAACCGTAATGTTTCAGGATATGGACAGTGTGAAGGCCTGAAGGAACTGTCCAAGGTACTGAAAGTACTGGACTGTTT